AGCTACAGGATTTGAGCTACACTGCTGGACCTGGTTCTGCTTTCATCTGCTTTCATTACACTTGTGCCTTGACTCTTCTTCCTTGGAATAAGAATTATGAAACTTAATTTTTCTTTTTCTTCTTAAAATTTTTATTTATTTTTATTTTATGTGTATGAGTGCATGTATGTAAGTGGACCTGTGTCATGCAGTGCCTGCAGAGGACAGAGGGAGGCGTCAAATCCCCTGGAACTGGTGTTACAGGCAGTTGTTGGCCACCCAGGTCTTCAGCAAAAGCAGCCAACGCCGTTAATCGCTGAGCCATCTTTCTGGCCCCTTAGTTTTTCTTTTACAGGAGCAAACAGTTGAGAGACTTTGGGCTTTTGAAGGGACATTGAACTTTTAAAGCACTGAAAATTTTTTAAAGACCCTGGGACTTTTAAAGTTGCACTATGTTTTATGTTATGATATTAACATGAGCTCTTGGGGGAAAGAAGAAAGAAACATGGTGTAAAGTGTTACACTTGTGCGTCAAATAAGAGGACTAAAATATCAGTTTTGTCACCTTGACACAGACCTAGACACACTTGGAAAGAGTAGGACTGTGGAATTTCCCCCATCAGACTGACCTGAGGACATGTCTATGGGACATTTTCTTCTTTGATCCTATTTAGACCTCTTCCTCTATCCACACTCTTGTCATAGCCTCCCCACCAGATTCCATGTATTCTGTCATATATGTTAAGGCCTGTTGAGCCAAGTTTATGTGGGATACCTTCTTAATTGTTGATTGATGTGGGAGGACTCAGCTCACTGTGGGCTGCACCATCCCTGGGCAAGTCAGCTTGGACTATATAAGAAAGGTAGCTGAGCAAGCCAGGGGAAATAAGTCAGCTTGCAGTATTCCTCCCTGGTCTCTGCTTCAGTTCCTCTTCCAGGTTCCTACTTGAACTACGACACCGGTATCCCTCGATGATGCACTGTAATTTGCAGTTCCTTGTGTTGCTTTTGGTCAGTGTTTTATCACAGCAACAAGGAAGCAAAATGCGAGTGCCAAGCAGGCTGCCCCTTCTGCCATGCCAGCATGAGACCGTGAATGTGATCTCCACCCCTACTCGGAAGCACTGGATCATTGCAAAGGGTGTCGGAGGGGGGAAAGACTTAGCTGCCTGCAGAAATGTGAGCACGGCCTTGCTCCAGTCCACTGAGAATGATACTCCAGTAAACTATGCTGTTATTATCACACACTGTCAAAAATAAATACCAGTGATGCTGTTCTCTAAAACCTCACAGGAAGTTAACATGGGCATGCCTTATGCCTGCTCCAAGGTTACGGCCTAGCAGGGTGAAGTCACAGAGCAGATGACATCATCACCCTTCACTGTACATTCTAGAACATTCTGATGCTTTCCCATAGGTTTTCTGTGGCTGTGAAAAAGTTTCCAGCATCCAGTCAGTATACCGCCCCTTCAAAGTGCACCTTGCAATTCCTGATCCACATGTAGGAATTAGGACTCTGAGGCTAGAGCCCAGGAACTTACATTTTAACAAGTCACTAGGTGAATTTTTAATTTTTTTACATTTATTTGGAGTGAGTATGTGTCACACTCTTGTGGAGGTCAGAGGAAAACTTTCAGGAGTCAGGTCTCTCCTTCCACCACAAGGGTCCCAGGGATCAAACTCAGGTCATCTGACTTGATAACAAGCAGCTTTACCTGCTCAGCAATCTTGCCAGGCCTCCCTAGGTGAATTTTATGGTAAGAACTTACTCCCTGGGCTGACTCAGGCATTCCAGTCCCCAGAAAGATGCTTCATTAGTAATTCACAAGTCTCTCAGAGACAGGGCCCAGGTAGCACATTTTTTATCTGCCATGTAAGTTTCTGGACTATCTATACCCTGTCTTGCCCACCTGAGGTCCTTGCTCTAACCTTTCAACACCGCCTCCACCTCTGTACTGGAGGCTCCTACTTCCTCATTTCTCTGTGTGGGACTAGAAACTTTACTCTGACTCCAGTTTATTTTTCAAAGGAGAGATCACATTGCTATATATTGTTCTTTTCCTTTGCTCCAGATTTTTGTAAAGGATTAAAAAAAAACAATACTTTAAAAGCATAAGAGACTGGAAATAAAGTACATTGTACTAAGCATAATGTTGGCTCCTTCTTTATACCTTTTGGACAAGCCCAAAAGCTAACAATCGAGTGTTGCAACACAGAAATTTCTACATGGTGTATAAAGAAAGAAATACAGCGAAGTGAGCCACGCAGTGAAAACACACATATCTAATCATGCGCTGTCCTGCTTTCCTGGCCATATGCCTTTAGGATTTTCAACAGGAAAATGTAGGAACTCCTTCATAAGGATAGCTATGAAAACTAAGTGAGAAACCAAACATTAAATGGATAACAAGAGGGGTAACCTACCCACATCTCTAACTCCAGCTCCAAAGTGGACCGAGACAGAAGAAGCTCTAGAGAGATTTGATAGTGGACGCCCAATACCTCTTCTGCTCTTCACATGCAGGACACAGATGCCCATACACACACACACACACACACACACACACACACACACACACACACATGCTTACACTCATAGACACAACATAAACACACACAAATAAACAAATATTTCTTTAAATAATACCCTGCCTTTCTCCAGAGTTAAAAAAAAAACAAAGTTCTGACAGTAAAGCATCTTACCTAACACTGCAGTGTCAAAATGGCACCAATGTTTTCTAACAAACAATTCAGTATTTTTTCACTACTCCCTAGTATTCTTGTCCAAATCCCTAATGGAAATTGGTGGGAATAGAAAAGCTCTAAGGTTCAGAGTATGGCAGTCATCTCAAAAGCACAAAATAAACCTAACTAGACCTGCAGGGCTGAGCGATAGAGCAGGCAGGACGCTTTGCTTACCAACATTCGCTCTCTGAAAATGATTCAACCATTACACAGCCCACTGCTCTTCTATGTTTATTTCTCGTCTTGGGTGGTTTCTTTTGTTTCTCGCATCCTCAATTACCTAACGTACAGCCATGCGTGGGATTTTGTCTGGTAAGAATTAGCTATGAACCCAAAGGCATTGAGAAAACATTTAAATTTCTCTCCAAAGAGCAGTTGGTAGAGAATCGAAAGACAAACTATTCTCTTCACTATGTGTTTGAAAAAGAAAAACAGGTCACCATTTTTAAAAGATTTACTTATTTTTATGTGTTTTGCCTACAGGTATGTAGATGCATCATGTGCATGCAGTGTCCAAGGAGGCCAGAAGAGGGCGTTGGATTCCCTCCCATACTAGCAGCTGTTAGGTGCTATGTGGATGCTAGGAACTGAACCCAAGTCCTCTGTAAGAGCAGCAAGTGCTCTAAACTGCTGAGCCACCTCTAGCCTGGACTCCCACCCCCACCCCCATGTGCCCCATCACCATAATTTTTTAACTTTAATTCTTTTTACTATGTTTTATGTAATTAAAGGAAAATTGTGTATAGCTCCTTACATATTAATTCCCTAACAATTTTCTATCTTATTTATTTATAAAATTAAGACTAATTCAGAAAATGAAAAATTGTCAGTGGTTGCTAGACATGAGATTTTACTACAAATCTCTTAGAGTAAATGAGATAATACCAGAGCTTTTTGCTTGATATTGCCTCAATTTTTTTAAAAGCCACATTGGCATTCTGTCCATGAAACATGAGTTTAGCAATGACTTCATTCTCCAGGATGAAGAAAAATTGATCTTAACCTTCCTATCATTTTCCTTTAACCCGGAGCACTAATGCAATTGAAGGCATGGATAAATAAAATGTCTGTGAGGAGAGAATGACATTGTGAAAGGTTATTTCCAAAGGTACGAAGCACACGTTTCAGGTTCCCAACTTATGGAACTCCTGTCGCAGCTTGGTGGAAAACTGCCAAATTTCTGTTCTTTTAGGACATATTTAAACTTCGAAGGACAGATTTTTTCCTCTCAGTTATTATACAAGGAAAGTTTAAAACCTAGTATTAAAAACAAAACTTCAACAATTCAAAATACAAGTACTGTGTAAAGGTAGATTGTTACTTATATTAAATTTATTAATGTGATGCTTTTGTTACTGCAAATCTTAAACAGTCTATCAATTTTCCTAATACTAACCCTTAATTCCAATTTTCCATAAATAACATAGAAAGCTAAGTGACAGCAACCCTTCGCATCGCCTGTCTAGCTGCTTCTCTACTGACAGCTCCTATCTTTCTCCTTTTCTTTGTTCTTTCCCCACTGATGCCATTTGTCCCACCGTGACCCAAAATGTAAAGTCTTTGTTATTTTGGCTTGAGAAATTTGCCATGCTTTCCAAACAAAGGTCAACAATGGGAGTAAGGCAAAAATTTCTCAAGTCAAGGTTTTCCGACAGGTCTATAGCAATGAGGAGTTTGCTGGTACTCAACTTACAGCTAACACTTTCCTCTCCCACACAAGTACTGAGCAAATTTATCTTTTTCTTTGCTTTGCCTCTTTTTGTGTCTAGAACCCCCTATCAAGGCCAGCTGATACAGAGAATAGACATCCACCCTGCACACATCCAGCCAAGAGGCATCCACGTGCAGACAGAGAGACAGTGACAGAAACAGAGAGACAGAGTGGGGGGAGGAAGGAGGGAGGGAGGGAGAGGCAGAGGCAGAGAGGGAGAGAGGGAGAGAGGGAGAGAGGGAGAGGGGGAGAGGGGGAGAGAGAGGGAGAGAGGGGGGAGGGGAGAGAGAGAGAGAGAGAGAGAGAGAGAGAGAGAGAGAGAGAGAGCAGAACTCAGGGCTTGCATAGAGTATCCCCCTAAGAAGCCTCACACAAAGCCCCCCTTTCCGACTTGCTGTATGAATGCACTTTACTAGTACCGCGACTGCCCAGCCAGCCATCCCATAAGTGATGCAAACCTACCGCTTTCTCCTCTCCCTCCCAGGAACAGGGACAGGTACCTTCCCCAAGCCAGGCTCTCCCCGCGCCCGTCTCCAGCTGCCACCCCCGCCCGGAAGCTACTCACCCCGGCTACAGTAGCCCCAGTCCACCTTGCTGTGCGCAGTCAGATAGAAGCACCAAGGTCTGCCGCTGCCGTCGGGGCTCCTGCAAAGGTTGTGGCGCTGCCCTCGCAGCTCGGCCCAGCTCGCCGGGGGCGACCGGTCCAGGAAGGGTGGCACCTCTGCCCAGAGCAGACAAGGGGCGCCCAGGTCGGTGGTGTTGCCCCACGGACCTGCCGCGGAGCCCCGTCGGAGGCGCGGGGTGCTCGGTGGTCGCTGCCGGCTGGGAAGGTAGGACGCGGGCTGGGGAGGTGCAGGGGGCGGATGGCGGCGGTGGAGGGCGTCCGGCGGGGCGGGCTCTGCGCTGAGCACCGAGGGCAGCGCCCCTAAAACGGCAGCCAGCACGCAGCGGGCGAGCGCCATGGTGCCGGCGGAGCTGGGTCCACGCCGGGCGGGAGGAGGGGCGGGGCGGGAGTCGCGGCAGCCCCCTCCCACGTGGCCGCGCTCGCGGTGCGCCCCCCTCCGCGGGGCCGGGGTGCCGTGAGCTCCGGGTGCTGCCCGGCGAGCCTCGGTCCCGCGGAGGACTGA